GAAGACCTGAAGAATGAGGGTAAAGAGAAACTCAAGGAGAAAGAGGATGAGATCGGTTTGACCATCCCAGGAAGCAACGGCTCCACATTAAACCCCTCACCAAGCGCATAGAGGAGCCCCTCCCCACCCTTCCCCCAGGACGGTTCCCATTCCCACACAGCGGGACAGGCCACTCTCGCTGGAGACCTTTACATATTGTAAGGGCTTTATGAAATCTAACCTCTAGAGAAATTGGTTGTCATCCAAAACCTTTTTCTTTTTGTTCACTTAATTTAATACTGCAGTTTTTTTTTTTTTAAGACATGTTCATATACAAGAGGTGTTTGCATACACGCAGTGTGTATATAGCGCATTGTACAATATTTTCACTCTGTGTTGAGTAGTCTGGAAATGTGACTGTAGCGGCAGCAGAAGCTACAGTGGGACTTGGCTCGTGTGTATAGTGGTGGCAGCGCTGGTCAGGTTTAATAGCTGAAGACCAAATATTCTTTGTGGCAATGTTGTAATGGCACTGTTAAATGGAGTGTTATTTTCAGTTTCTGTTTTGTACCCATTTTCTTGTTTGGGGACCATCTCATTCACAAGCCAATATGGGGTTTTAAATGGCCAATGTTGGTGTCTGAGAGCAGGGTGGCTGATGGTCAGTGTAATGCCAGTACATGATATAATGCATGTTAAATGACCTTTTAACACCATAATAACTCCAAATCCACCTAAAACTACAAAACAGAACGTCTATTATCCATTGACTAGATTTCCAGTCAATTTTGGAGCTAACACTTTTGTTAACTGGCCAAGTAGACTGGCTGATACCGATAAATAAACATAGGCCAAGAGAATATCAACTTGATTTCCATTTAAGTGAGCACAAATACAAAACAAAGGATATTTGGTCTTAAGCTCTTACTGACTGAGGTATCTGGACCGAGGCATATAACTTCTCAAGCCCATTCTCAGGGTTACAAACAGGGTTGTTTTTTGCAAAACATTTTCCAACACCTTGAGATGATTTATTGCTGATGTTGAGTGTTTGACATGAAGGAGGGGTTTTCATGTAGGAACTTCCACATGAAATGCCAAATCTGTCTAGTCTTCCGGGCATCTCGAGCCGAGGCATCTCCTGAGCGAGGGGAGCATGTGTGCGATAACAGAAGCAGCTAGTTCCTCATTAGATTCCGTACTGTAGTATGCACACTAACCCCGCTCTACACGGAAAAAGAGGCATGTTACCAAAAACGTGCACAGGCCTTTGTGTTCCGATTTAATTGGTATGTTTGTGTGTATTTTGTTGTCTATGTGTGGTTAAGAGACTTGAACTGGTGTGTATGTGTCATTTAAAGGCATCTGGCTGTGCTGAGCTGAACGGTCGTGTCATTGAACACTGAAAAAAGAGGTAACTCAAGGTTGCATGTGGAATGACCAGAAGTAAACGTAGCATCAGTCAAAAATCACTGTGGTTAGTTAGTGAAATCGTTGGGGAACTCAGCTTTTTTGGCCTAGTATTTTAAAACAACATTATATAGACTTGCTAGACAAATAAATGGTCAAACTATCCAATTTTTACCATAGAAACCACAGCATTTTATGGTAATGTGGTGCATTCTGTTTCGTTCTGGTTTTGTAGAGAGGGGATATACTGGTATGGATAATTTTGGTCATATTGTTGGTATGGCTAGATGCCGCACATCATATAATTTCAGTGATGTTTCAACAAGGCCCCTTTACTTATGATGCATACGGTTGTAGTGGAACATATACTTGGATGAAGAGTCCTGGTTACACTGTGAATTTGTCTGGGATGTCGCCTGACGCCTTTTAACAGGGAGTCTGGCTATGCAGCTGCTAATGTGCTGACGCATCATGTATTGAGACTTCTGATTACACAGTGAATCTCTGTATATAGTCGAGACAAAATAGTTTATTTGGCATTTCTCTCCTGTGTTGTGCGAGGAGAAATGCAATATGTGACGTGCTCCTTCATTTTGAGTCGGAATGAGGCAAAGAAATGCTTTGTTGCATTCGTTTTGATAATACGAAGTTTGATAATACAAAGTCTCAGCTTTCAAATTAGCTTAATTTAATTATGAAATTCGAACATGTCATTTTGATGTCATAAGCTATGTTTCCATCGCCCTATGTTAATGCGCATTTTGAAGTATCGCATGAGAAACGAGTGATGGAAACGCCAAATTTCGAATAAAAACCCCTTAATTCGCAAAAAAAGTTTTTACGCTTGCTTGAGGTTGTTTTTGACGAAAAAAGGGTTAATGTGAAAAGTAATGTGACTTTGCGCTATGGGACGGCAAATCCTGACTAACCAGTGGACCGATATCATTCCACAGCATCTGAAATGTCGTTATGGTCATTCGGAAATGCCCGAGCAAAGTCTGTCATCAAAGTATTTCTGTATAATTGCCTACCAGAAATGTCTTACACGACTGCGTTCCCAAACAGCAGCATCCGCCTCCGAGAGCAATGACCGCATTTATTGTGTTTCGTCTGCTCGCTCTTAGGCGCAAGTAATTTATTATATATGAAAATTATTATATTCAGTAGCTTCTCCTACTTTTCTTAGTGATTTATATCAGGAAGTGACTGTTTTGTTCTCTTTGACTCATTGGATAGAAACAGTGCTTGTTCGCAAATGTTTTGCGCTATATTTCAATTTTGCGCATAAGTTAAATTCGCAGCTTTGGATGGAAACCCAGATACTGATCGCTAAAGCTGCCTCAGTTTAAAGGCCGCGTGGAGCGCGAGTGAACAGATCATCTCTTTTTCTTTACTACTAGTTATAGCACAAAAAAACAAATGAACATCAGAAGGTATTTTGAAAGATGCAGTACAACTAAATTTGTCGTCTCTCATGTAATCGTGTTTCAGCTGCAGAAAGACGGGAATGAAACAGCTTGTGAACAACATTACGTGACGTTACCTTTACCTCAGGAAAGTCGTTGTGTCCATTGCTAAAAAAAAGCTTAGAGAAGAGCATATTAGTAAAATCGTAAATATATACACTGTAAACACATGTAATTGATGTCTTATTTAAAGTAAGCTTGAATAAATCTCCAGATTCTATCAAAAATGTCTGAGAATTGTTTGGAATTTAGATGTCATTTTCTCACAAGTTTTTATGACAGCACCATTTAATTAGATTTCCGCAACGGATCATAAACAATTATGTTTTTGAAAGTTTTTTTTATATTTGTTTGAGATCTTTCTCTGAATAAAACTCTTTCTGGGCCAAAATGACTCAAAATGATGGAGCAGGTCACAGATAAAGTCAGTAATCAAAAACCTGATGGCATAATAGTCTACGTCATTGCTATTTGTACATTTTATTAATCTTTGCATGAAGGTATGATATATATATATATATATGTGACGTTACCTTTACCTCAGGAAAGTCGTTGTGTCCATTGCTAAAAAAAAGCTTAGAGAAGAGCATATTAGTAAAATCGTAAATATATACACTGTAAGCACATGTAATTGATGTCTTATTTAAAGTAAGCTTGAATAAATCTCCAGATTCTATCAAAAATGTCTGAGAATTGTTTGGAATTTAGATGTCATTTTCTCACAAGTTTTTATGACAGCACCATTTAATTAGATTTCCGCAATGGATCATAAACAGTTATGTTTTTGAAAGTTTTTTTATATTTGTTTGAGATCTTTCTCTGAATAAAACTCTTTCTGGGCCAAAATGACTCAAAATGATGGAGCAGGTCACAGATAAAGTCAGTATTCAAAAACCTGATGGCATAATAGTCTACGTCATTGCTATTTGTACATTTTATTAATCTTTGCATGAAGGTATGATATATGTTTAAGATTTTATCCAAAAATATACAAAACACAATCTAACTTTAAGAAGTAAGGAAAAAAGAGAGAAGAATTAAAGTAACCCTGCTGCCTAACAGGAGGTATCGGACACTCAGGGGAGTAGTTAGAGGTTCATTGGTCTTAGCACAACCGTACCTGCAGGTCACAAACTCTAGCTTTTCCTCTGTTAGACAGTTAGTGCAGTAGATAAGAGCAGCAGTTTAGGTGACGTGAGACTAACAGCACTTTTATTTACTGGTTCACTTTAGCTGGCTACGTGCGCAGTAGCTACAGTATGATTAATCGCTGTCGGAAATGTGAATGCACAAGATTGAAGCCCTCTCAATTTTCTGATGTGTGGTCCTCAGACCTCGAACGTGGCATGAAGACCATGTGTCTGTCTCTAGGTACTGCGATGTGGAGCAGCAGTTTAGGTGACGTGAGACTAACAGCACTTTTATTTACTGGTTCACTTTAGCTGGCTACGTGCGCAGTAGCTACAGTATGATTAATCGCTGTCGGAAATGTGAATGCACAAGATTGAAGCCCTCTCAATTTTCTGATGTGTGGTCCTCAGACCTTGAACGTGGCATGAAGACCATGTGTCTGTCTCTAGGTACTGCGATGTGAACAGACCTGGATTTTGACCTTGACATGCAAACTCTTTTTAACAATCGACTCGTTATGCATCAGTGCCGTTCTTGCACTGTTCCCCACCTCTCTCCGTTGTACAGTAATGTAAAAAAAGACAAAAACTCAACTGATGTGTATGTTTGTGTTTTCTGTTTTTATCAGGGTGGGTTGCTGTAGTGGGGTTTATTTGTAGTTGTTTTTACTTTATTTCTTATTGTAACGTAGCTAATGTTATGTGTACAGAGTGTTCTGTGTAGTGGACGTTCAACTGCTGAGTCAAACCTAGTTCATGTTAGTGTCACTATTGATGTCGTAATTTTAATCAGTATGTAATTATCCGTTTTTGCCATTTAACAAGCAGAATCTACCTTTGTAAGAGATTTTTCCTTTTTATTTTTATAGTACTAAAACTGTATTTTACCATCAGTTGTAATCATTTTTAGCTATGTTCAGTGACACTACATTTTTTCGCCCCCTAAACCTCCTCAAGCCAGCTGATCTCAAACTCATTGCCAAACAAAGGCTTTTTACTGAAACGGCTTTTTTCATCAGCATCTGGTCAAACAGAAATCGTTTATTGATGAAGAAGGACACAGTCTAAAGCCAACAATGTTATATCTTCATCTCAGTATTGTACACAAGTGTATTTGTAGTGCTGCAAACCCTTTAAGAACATTACTGTCGACCTGTGATCCAGTTTCATGTATTATGCACATTGTAAAGCAAATTTGATTACCTGGAAAAAATGTTTTAACACTTTGAATATTTTTGAAATGCATTTAAAACGATCAAAATTGAATAACGGGAATTGTATTTGGGTATATTAAGAAATTTAAATGGACTTTACTCCTAATTTGGCCTGGATATTTCTAAGTGTAAATTTAATTGTGACGGCATACACCTTAAAACAAATATTAGAATTTGGTGAAAAAAATATGAACACAAATACCTCTAGGTCCAAGATGGAAATATCCATTGAGTACAGGTTTATTGCTGTATTAATTAAAACTAAACAGAATCAGCATATCTCAGTTGAAACTGTGAATTCTTTTGGTTAATGTCAACAGTATCATGTATTTTCATGTTGTTACGACACTTTAAAAATATGTTTGAAAGTAGCAGAAAATAATGCAAAAATTAAAACCTTTCTCTCCCATGTCCTGCATCCTAAAAGAAGCGACGTCTTTACAATAGTGTGTGTACTTCAGTGCTCATGGCGATATAAAACTGAAGTAGAATGACAAGCACAATGACATGAGCTCAGTACTTTATCAAACATACAGTATCTAACCATGTGTCTTTTCAATTTTAGGGTCAAACAGCATTGAAATTGTCTTAGTCGTGTCAGCTGTAAACTGTTCAATTTGAAATGGTAAATAAAGTTTATTTTAAAGATCAGATTGTGGTTTGTGTTTTATCGCTGTGGGTTTTTTCCTATGTACAATAGCCTAGACATACATTTTTTTAATGTACACACACACGCACGCACACACATATTCCAAAAGAGCATTGGATCAGCTACATGATTTTGCATTTTTCTCAAGAAAGATACAAAGACTTATTCTAGAAAGCTGATCTGACCTTATGTGGATGTGTGGGTTTCTGTTACTCTGATTATTTGTGTTGTTGGTTATTAAACTCTGTTCGTTCAGATTCCTCTGAATGAGTCTCCGTTCTTCTTTGAGCTCTGAAAGCCAAAAGAGAAAACAAGAAATCAGTGATAGGTAGCCTGCTTCACCACAAACCTTTTAACAATCACCTTGGGAAAAAATTAAATTCTATTAAAAAAGAAAGAGAGAATTCTGCTTTGTTACTTTCATTGAAAATCATTCTGATCTGAGCAGATTGACCTTTGTAGATTGAAGATTGTAATCTTGCTTACTGACAAGCTGTGCTTACGAGTGGTTTTCTTTGAGACGGCATAATTACCGATTTATCTTGTTTACTTAAGTTTTTAAAGAAAGAGTTCTTGTCTATACAAGCTAAAGAAACTGCACATCACACATGAGCTTACAGTTTTTCATCAGCCAAAGGAGTTAAACAGGAAATGTGCTTCAGTGGTGAACCACTAGATGGTGGTGATACACAATTCAAAAGGCCACTTCACATCTGGAGAATTGTAAAGGGTTATAACAAGATGATTTAATGGTCATTATGATGTAATGTTTATTAGGAAAAATTATGCAGTAGGACGGCTCAACAAAAGAGACTGCAGGGCATAGTTGAGTATGCAGTCTTGTTTTAGTTCAGTCTGTCAGTAGGCTTTTGTCTAAAACAGAATTGCATGAAAACTCAAGATTAATAAACACGTACCTGCTACACTGGGTTCTGGAGATACAGGTTCTGTCTGAGCACTGGCTCTCTCAGTCTCAAGGTATTCCTGTGATA